ACCTAGATCTATCCATAAAGTATGTATATCGACTTAACAAATATAAATAGGTCATCCGTTGGACTATGTCTGTACTTGTAGAAAACGCAACAACGTAATTCTATGCTCAATTTTGTACGTTGTGCAAAATTTGATGTCAATCTGACCAACATGAGGAGTTTGATGCCCAATTTACTTGAAATCGGGCGAAAATATATAAAGCTCTAAAATATTAAGCGATTTCAAACAAACTTGTCACAGGTTAGGTTATACTAATTTTAGAACGTTTTGTTCCTATCAGCCTATTGGTTCCTTGGTTCGTCAATTACTTAAAATCAATCTATAATAAACGGGAGCTATATCTAAATCTGGACCAATTTTCTCGAAACTTGGCAGACATCACTCTAGGCTCAATTCAATACGTTGTGCCAAATTTCGTGCAAATCGAAAGATATATAGGGACTTTGGGGCACCATTTACATAAAATCGGATAAAACTATATATGGGAGCTATATCTAAATCTGAACCGATTTTCATGAAACTCAGCACACATCATTTTAGGCATAATTCATTACGCTGTGCCAAATTTCTTGCAAATCGAGAGATATATAGGGACTTTGGTGTACCATTTACATTAAATCGGACGAAAATATATATGGGAGCTATATCTAAATCTTAACCGATTTTTCCCAATTTCAATAGTTATAAATGTTTTAAAAATCTTTCTTTTTGTTCACAAAAATATTTTGTACATAATAATTTTTACCATCGACAATTAAAAATATTTATTTTACAATGAAAATATTTTAAATATATAATAGACTATTGAACGAATACACAACAGGATGAAATACATGAAAAAACAACCATACGACACAGGGAACGAGGACAATCAAATGACAGAATTACTCTTGGATATATTTGATAATATACTGGACATATACATTGTTGTTTTCTTATACATTATTACACATGTTATTTAATTTTTAAAAAATAATAAAAAATAAAAAATGGTTGTGTTTTTAAATAAAAAAACGATCTATGTTTTTCGAAATTTTAATTCGACGTCGTATATTTAAACTTTTGACACACATTTTTCACGAAGTTTTTAGTATGTGGAAGTAAAATTAGGAGTACTTTTTTATAATTCGATTAAATCTACTAAAATATTCCTTCCGTTATTTCCGACTATGTTCACAATCATTCTTATAGAAAATTCTCTGTACATGTTCTTGTTTTGAAATATATCCCATTTGGAATTACCACAATAGATCTGGTTTTAATTTGTGATATAGTGCTTAACGTTTTGAGAAAGTCACCTATTTTAAGTTTCGGTACTTTTAAGACCTTCGACACATTTTTCTGTAATTTGGGATTTATAGTGACCGAATATTAATAAAGGTCCATGTATGTTTCCATATACTGGACGAGAGGGGTATTTTATTTCAAAATGGGATTGATACACGAACGAAGTCTGTAAGTCGGACAGCGCCTTTGTTACGGATTTAAAAATATTTTGAATTTATCAGGTACCATATATGGCTTATAGAATGGAACATTATGGGTCTGTTCATCGAGATGTTCTCTTACTGCAAGAATCTACTTATTTTTCTATTTTTCTGATATCATAAATAAAAAATTGTTAATGTTGTAAAAAATTTTACATTGTTGAAGATTCTGGCACAGACCATATGTTGACAAAAAATGGTAAACCTTTCCAAATACATAAAGTGAAAATCGAAATTTCAATTAATAGAAGATTGTTAAATGTTCTAGAATAGATCATATATTTCGATTAATCTAATGATTTGTGGGCTCTACAATAGGACCTAACCTAACTATATTCTTACAGTTTCACAATTTCAGACATTTGTCACCGAAATCAAAATTGCAATGTTTTTAATTTCGCTATTTAAAAATGATGCAGGCTAGTTAACAACCAATATAAAGTAGTCCTTTCTTGGTATTATGGTAGGGAATATTTTCTTATTTTCAATATACATTCAGAGATCTGCGTTCAATGTCAAATTGATTCGATAAACATTTTGTAAAACGCGGGGCAGTAGTCATTATAAAATTGATTCCTTGGAGAAATTCTTTTCCTTTATAAATTCTACAATTTTTTAAAATATTAGAGAATTCCATACTTGAGTATGGAAGCTAAAATGGAATTAATAAAAATTATGTGACACAGTGGTATTAATAGCGTAAAATTTGAGAAAAAAAATATTTGTTTTGTGTTTAATAATTTCCAATGGAAATGATCTGGGATCACTTTTAAAGCTATTGTTAAATATATTTAGGAATTTTATAAGCTAAATTCATGTTTTTTTTAATTATGGGATATTTTTAAATATTATTGCTTGTTTTTTTAATATCATAATGAGGAATGCAAATAAGTTTGAGTTATTGAATATTGATTTAAAGGTTTTTAAAAGTTTGAAATACATATATTTTTAATATTATTATTGTTTTGCATTAAATTTAAAATAATTTAAATTATTTAAAGAAGTATTCTCAAAATCACAGTGTTATTTCATGTAGCAGAGCTATAACATTTAAATATATATGTTGTATATTTTTGTTATTATCTATATACTAATATTTATTGGTTGTTTTTTTATTTTATTAACTACATATTTATAATATAATTATATATTTAATATATATTATATATTGTTTAGGAAGCGCTTTTGTTTATCAACAAATATCTTTATATTTACACACACAGACACACTCATGGAGACACTCACGATTGGAATGTCATTAGTTGATTATTTGAAATTTCTTTACTCGAAAGAAACACATAATCAGCCATCGAGAATCAGTAGAATGAGTGTTCAGTTATCGCGTTCTTTTTTGTTCTGTTAATGCCTGTTTTACTAGTTGTTGTTTATTTGGTATTGTTATTATGAGTAGTAGTATCATTACTTCATTCATGCAATTTGATGGATGTTCGTTCATTCATCAGTTGCAACAGTTGGAGGTGGCGGTGTTATTTTTGTTTCTTTTTCATTTTCATTTTCTCTTTAAATTCATTTGTTTTTATCAAAATGAAATATGAGCGAACAAATGGTTTCAAATGAAATTGGAATGTTCAAATTGTACAGATTTGGCTAAAACATGAACAAACAAACAACGAACGAAATGAAGGGAAACACAAAACAGAAAGGGAAATTACTTTTAATTTTCGGAATTTTTAATTGGAATGTATACGGATGCTGTATTGAAAACACTTAAGAGTTAATATTCAAAATTGCCAATCGTACAATTTGTCATATTAACAGTTAAGTGCCTTTGGGGCGATAGGAGATTACACTCTACTTTTAAACACTGTGCTTTAGTAATGAAAAATTTAAATGAACCATTTTGGGGATGGTGTTGCATTGAACATAACATTGTTGTTTGAGGGGAGGTGGTAACTACTCAAGGCAGGCATAGGGGCATAGGTGTGGGTTCTGGGTTCTTTATACAAACGAGTTTTTCGGGGTCAGGGTGGCAACAATTCTACTGCAAATCAAGCATTTAAGGGGTGAAAGTAAATTGTAGTTGGAGCAACAGCCACTGATGCTCAACAGGAAACGGATGTTGTATATAATGTTGTAACATCTAGTGTACATATGTCGAGAACATAAACACAAAAAATATTTACCATAGGTTTTGCTGACAGATATTGACGATGCTATAATAGGTCGAAAAATATATAATAAATTTGAAAAATCAATGGACTTTCAATTTCCATCAAACAATATATATTAATTGTAGTTCAAAAATACATAATACATTGATGAAAATTCTATTGACAATACATGGCGAAATCAAAAACCATTTATGAATTTGATTTAATCGAATGTGGTAAGAAGAGTTCGAAGATAAATATTTACAGATTTCACAAAATTAGTATTGTTATTTCTTAATAACAAAGAAATAAAAAATAATCGAACTGTGAACCGTTAAAATTGGTTTCAGTCAATTTATTTGGAATAACTTTATTTCTAAATAACTGTCTAGTTTTCGAAAAAGGTACATACTTTTTTTAACATAATTCTTAAAATTTCCATGGGAATCAATTATTCAAACACTCGATTTTTTAAAATGTATTGAATATAATTACTCAAAACCGTTCCGGCAGAATTTTTACATAACTAAAGTCTGTAGTTTTTTTTTTAATTTTTGTCGGATGTTTTATATGTTTTCAAATGTTACATTACTTGTTTTAACCTCAATTTTAAACATATATCAGCAGTCAAGAATTAAATTCTACCTCTGTTAGTATTAACATGGAGAACAGATTTGAAGAAAATAATCACTCTAGCGAGAGGATATATATTAAGAAGAACAAGATCTAAATACGAAATTACTATATTTCAAATATATACCCAAATTTTCTGAACATTTTCGCTTGCTTTGAGATCAGATTTTTTTGTTTGTTTTCTATTGTATTTCAAAATAACACCCGAAACTTTTCAGAATTAATTTATAACATATTTACAAAATAAATTACCCTATCTCAAAAAGAAGACGGCATGCATTCAACAGAGAATCAATAATTTCTTCACGCGGGGAAAAGGGTCATTCAAAACCAAAAAAATATATACTTATATACATTTTGATCATTGCAGGATCAAAACATTTTCGTGTCATCAACATAACAAAAATATATACATAGATTTTCGAAATTATAAAAACCAATAAAAGAAACATCATAATTTCCACAAAATGGAAATGGAATATTTTTGTACTACCAACTCCAGTCCTTCATAGATATTTCAGTTTCAACACAACAAAAAGACAGCGACGACATCGAATTCTCTTCGATGCGAATCGATGAAAACCACCACCATTTTCCATTTTCTTTTGGTTTGGTGCCAAAGACAGTAGCAACAGTACCACAAACGAGTTGCGGCAGGACAAACAACAACAACAGCGGTTGCCCACAATTGCAGTAAACACCAAAAGGTGCTGTCGCATAAACATCCCGAGGTCATACTGCCCGTGGCGAACACTGCTGCCGATAACCCCGCCATCGTTGATACTGTTGCGGGCAAGAAGATGCTGCCGGTGATTTCGTACTATGACGAATCACTACCCGCCGCATCTTCTATAATTGAATTAAGATCGATATTAAATGAATACTCATAGAGATTCGAGTAGCGATCACGCTCCTTCCAGGGTGATCGGTGATTCATATAAAGATTTCTTTTACTAACACGAAATATTTGGCTATCTTTAATGGATTGATCGTCGTCACATGGCTCACCGCCACCACCAAAATCACATTCACGGATGGTCAGGCGATTCGTGGGCGACTTCAGTTCGAACATGACGTCCTGATGCTTGTAGCGCGGCCGCATCGGCAGTGGCTGGTAGCCGGGTATGACAACCTTTTGCGAGTCAACCGATTGCGTGGACTGGCGGCGCATGCCGCGCCCCTTGTTGAAGGGGAAGTTGCGCAGCAGATTCGAATCCGTACTGCGTTGCGGTGAATAGTATTTGAAGTCTGTGGGCGCAGGCGCTGTGGGTCCCGTCGTGTGAATCGTGGTCAGTGTCGTGGTACTGGCCGAGGGTGCGGCAGATGCCTGTAGCTGCAGTGTCGAGGGACGTTTTGGCTGCTGATGCGTTGGCTGCGATTGCAATGAGACTCCCGTGGCCGATACTGGCGTGAGGGCAGGTTGGACTGTTGTTGTGGCCACCGTTGTCGTGGCCGGCTGGTGATGCGGATGATGATGCAACAAAGGCAGCGGTGAGTTGCGAGCATCGAACGACGGTGACAGGGGCAGGTGCAGGGAACGCTTCAGACTCAAGCGATAGGACGACACGGCCGGTGAGTGCATCAGCGAGGGTGTGGCCAATGCACTGGGCGTTGTATCATGATGCAGCTGAAGCTCTTGTTGTTTTTGGTATTTGTTATTGAATTGATGAGCAGGTGGTAGTAGTGTTTGTAGTGAACATTTTTGATGCTGATGTTTTTGTTTTTTGTGATGATGTTTGTTGCGTGACTTACCGTTTTGTAAATTGTCATAGCTGCGCGGCCTATAAACGCCGCCGGCCGTTGCAGCACTCCCAGCTTCCATGGCTGACGATGAGGTATTCGACTGGTGGATGAAGAAGGATGGCGAGTGTGTTCGTGTTGCAAATGAAACAAGGTGTGTTGGGTGTAGCGGTTTTGAGAATGAATCCGTCCAGAAGGCGAAACAGTGGTCAAAATGAAATATTCCAAGAACAACAGAAAAAAATATACAAATGTTGATCAAGTCAAGTGTTTGTGTTGTTGGCATTTCAATTTCAAATCAATTGTTAATTGGGTTTTTGGTTTCATTGATGGTGTTGTTATTGATGTTGTTGTCCGTTTTGCAAATGGGAAATAAACAGAGAAAAAAGAACAAAAAATACATGTTTTGAGATCAGGTGCATTTTTATTAGTTGAAAATGAAAAATTGTAATTTCTTTCTCTTTCAAAAACAGAGGTGCTCTTTTATAGAAAAAATTGACACCGAGAGTTTTGGAAAAAACATGTGGTACCAAAATGAAAGAAAAGTGTAATTGCACGCACTCATCGAATCAGGCGACGCAAATTCTAATTGAAATTCAATGACTTACCTCGTCGTAATACCGTGACTTGAGATCGGAACCACCTATACTAATGCCACCACCGGCACCACCAATTATGGGTTGTGATGTGATCATGGCACCACTGCTGACATGTGTGGCACTTATCACATCACTGAGGGGATGGCGAGGACTTGAATGTTGTTGCATTTGTAAAATGTATTCATCGGTAGCGATGCCACGTCTGGAAATGGAGAAAAAAGTTAAATTGTGTTAAATTTAAATTCTAATTGAAATAAAAAACATTTCACAGTCAGTCGATTTCTTATTTTTCGTATTTAATTTTTTTGCCATAAAAATACTTACCTATCTATTAATGAAGGTGTCATGGGACCGCATAATATATGGCAACAATTTAAACAAATATTCCCTCTGGAATATGGATTTAAATTGCGTTGGCCGCCTTTGGAAGAAAATGAACCTTTGAGCTGTAAAATGGAAAGTAAAGTGGAATGGAATGAAAACGTCAAGAATAGAACGAAACAACCAAAAGTTCATTGCCTCAGTCAACTAGAAAAATTACCGACACTTTTCACGGCGGAACACTTACATCTTCATTTGTTGTTTGATCACTGGTGGTTAAATAGGTATGAAATCCCGCTAAACCGATCACAGACCAAATGGAAAAGAAGCAGATAAAAACCACAATTACGGTGAATGGTGCCTTTTTGATGACTTCGAATACTTCCTGTTCTGTTTTCATTACTGCAATGAGAAGGAAGGAAATTGGAGAAACCAAACAGAAAAAAATAGAAATCAAAAGAAAGATAAAACTTGGTAAAAACACGACAAGGACTCTTGTATTTGTTCTAGGAAAGTGTTGACTTAAAAAAAGGGATATTTGTTCCTTTTTTCGGTGGGTGGGTCGGTTGGTGTTCAGTTGCGGTTCCTTTGAATTTTTATACGTTGCCGCCTTCCTTTTTAATTTTAATTAAGACAATATTTTTTGTTGTTGTTGGTGGTGTTGTACTTACATAATACTAAATGCGTCACAGAGCATGAAAATATGAACACGGCTAAAAAAGCCAACGAGACTAGAAACAGATAAAAGAAGCGATAATTACGTTTACCCACACAATTGCCAACCTAGAAAGAGACAAACAAAAGAACATTAATGAATAGATGTGGACAAAAACATAAAAAAAGGAAAGTAAAACTATGTGGATACAGAAACAAACAGGATGACAGTGATGTTGACAGGCCATGGCGCTAATGATGGGCGTGAATACCAAAAGCTAACAATAATTAAATCTTAGGCTTTGTCATAACAAGGTCCAGCGTTCACCCAATACAAAGTTGGCAATAAAATGGCAACTGACAAGGTTTATGCAATAACAATAATAAAATAAGTAAATTTATTAAAATTATTATATTTATATGCTACATAATTTGAAATATTGGTGGTAGACACGATTATATGTTTCTTTAATTAGCATGAAGTTCTGTTTGCGGCCAATGTTAGGGATACAGGAGTCGTTTATTTTGAAAGTGGTTTAAGTCCATTTTAACTTTTGACACAAATCATATTTTTCTAAAAAGTTTACCAAACATATTACATTATGTTTTCAATAATGTTTAAGGGGACAAAGCCACAAACAAAATTAATACCACTTAACAATATTTTGAAACAAATCAAACTCAAACTTTAAAATATATCAATATAAGTAAAATGTACTTAAACCACTTTCAATATAAACGATGATAATTAGGTATATAATATTAATATATCATTTTATTCACATAGCCATATTAAGATTCCATACCATGTATGTTGAAAAATATATACGTTATTCTTCAAGGAAATCGGAAACTTCAACTAAATGGCGCAGGACCTTTAAAATTGGGTGCCAACAAATTGATCTGTATTTTATGGAATGACAAATTATAGTCAAATTATAAGGGTATTCATCTGTTGGTTGCTTTAAGGGAACACTGAACCATTGATTTAAAATCGATTTTGAAAACTCTGTTTTTTATTGTTACCATAGTCTTATAGATTTGCTTATTTTAATTAAAATTTGCTTTAATGAATAACCTCACTTGCTTGCCATTAAATAATTTATAATAATATATTTTTGTAAAAATTGTCATATTAACTTCATTTAGATTCTATCTCCCAAAGTATTCAAAAGAATCTTTCATTAAAATATATGTTTCTCTCAGTAAGAATAACACCTTTGTAGCATACTTTTACTTTTCATGTTTTCCGGGCCGTATCACTAAGAGGTGGAAATTTGAAACTAATTAAAATTACAAATAAGAACAAGATGAAAAAGAAACATAAGAAGTTTATGGTCTCGCACCAGGTACTTATAATTTCAATGCTGTACTGCGGCACTGCACTTCTATATGCAGAACATTTCATGTTGATGTCCGTCTTCGTTTTACATCAAATGTCACAATTTCCTTCGTCCTCCCACCGTTATGTCAGAAAAAAACCGGAAAACTCATGAAAATTATAAAGGGGAAAACACTGCAGTGCAATATGTTGGCACAGTAACCAACACACTTGAATCGCGGGTCGCTGATTACAGTTGTGGAAGTTTGTCAAGTAGCTAGTAGTCTTACTTTCACTCAAACCAACAAATGTTTTATTTTAAATAAATTACAAGATGTATTAAATTATATTTTCGAGGTTTTTCCTTAAAAAATGAAAGCGTAATGCCACATTAAATAATACAAATTATTATTATAAAAATTATACCGATTTTGTATTCCTTGAGAATATGTTTCGTTATAACTTGTGAATGCTTACACGCAGTGGTTTAATTTTAATAAGTATATACAAATATAATTTTGTCATCGCAGTCCTAAACTCCAACAGATTTCTGAGGCTCTGTATCTACATTTATACTTCGCTCATTTTTTAGCGAACTCTCAAACAATAAATAGCTTTTAACCCTACGGTCAATAACCAAAAAAGTATACGTAGATCAATAACCGTGGTACATTTGTACCCATCCAAAGATAGCTCTGTAACTCATTAAAAAATTGGACTATCGTGAGGTTTTTTGTTTTAAATTAGTCTATGCGGATCTGGTCTAGATGTGGGAACTCAAAATTATATATACATTAAAATAATATATATTTAAATCCATGCTTAAATGATAATCTATCTAATACAATCATAGTAAATTCGTTATAGCTTTCGAATGGGTTAAGCTTTTTTAGTTATTGTTTTTTGTCCCTGTATACCAAGGGAAAACCAGGGTAGTTTCTGACTTCCACGAGTCGCCCTGATGGCCCCATGTTGTCTAGGGCCACAAAAATTTGCAGAGGAGTTGAGGAACACCTAAATAAGATCCCAATAAAAAATAACTAAAAAAGCTTAACCCATTCGAAAGCTATAACGATTTTACTATGATTGTATTAGATAGATTATCATTTAAGCATTTTAAATATATATTAAATGTATATATAATTTTGTTCCCACATCTAGACCAGTCTAGACTAATTTAAAACAAAAAGCCTCACGATAGTCCAATTTTTTAATGAGTTACAGAGCTATCTTTGGATGGGTACAAATGTACCACGGTAATTGATCTACGTGGGTAATAACTTTAAAAAATTGTAAAAAATATATATATGGAAAATATTTATAATTTTTTCTTCGATTATGTGTGAAAATACCTCAAGAATGATTCCTCAAAATTTGATCCAAATATCTCCATTATTAAAAATTTGACAGAATTTTTATTCAAAAAAAGGTACAAATGTACCCGGTTATTGACCGTAGGGTTAATATTCTCTTCCTGTTCTATTCCTTCCCGTATTTACATGATCTGATCGATTTTGGTCTTCTTATGCATATTTTTTAAAAATGTTTGCAATTTTTGGCAAATCTTAAAGTGTTTCAGGTTTCTCCTCACTCACGTTCTCCCATTGGTCCTTTTCTTCTTTTACTCTCTATTAAAATTTCAAAAGCGTTCGGCATTATTTTTTTGATGTAGCAACTTTTACATCAACACTTTCGCTTTAACACTTTTTGAAGGTCGTTTCATTTATAAAACATTGAATGGACGACGAGAGGTATATGGAAAAGCAACAACAGAAAAACTGGTGGAAAAACTGTAAACAAATGCTGTACGGGGAAGCAACATGTTGGCGTTTTTATATAAAGCCCCAGTTTTGTTTTGGACCAACACTTGTTTAAAAGCAATTCTATTTGGTCGCTGCTGTTGTTGTTTTTGTTGATAATGGAAATTTCATTCAGCCTGTCAGACAGTCTGCTTTGTTTTTGTTCATTCGTCTGTGTTCTTTTCTGCTTTTGCAACAGCTGTTGTCTTTTGTCTAATGCCAGTGAGTGACTGACTTGTGCTAATTATCGTCAAAGAAATGACAAACAACATTCAACGTATTAAACCCCGTGTTCAAACGGGCGGAATCAGTTCGTCTGTTAGTCAGTCAGCCAGCCATTTGCCTCTGATTCAGCTTTGTTGTCAACTTTGTTCACATTGTCAAACACGAGGTGGTGATGACAAATTAAAATCTACGCAATATTACAGCTTCAAACAAATGCGTCAATTAGCATAGGAAGGCAATTACAACACACACACACCATATATACACATGTATAGGGTGTGGCAAAAGTCTGATAGAAGACATATAAAAATGTACTCTTAAGTCATAATAATGAAAGTAGGACTATAAAAGATAGACAAATATAAAAAGCGTTAAGTTCGGAAGGTGTGAGCACTACCCTATTCTACGCTTTATATTTATTTGCTATGAAATTTCCACACTCATAGTTCATTGATAATAACAAATTGACAAGCTTGTTATATAAGAGATATACCAGTATATAAGAGAAGTACCAGTGTATTTTGTAACCGGGATTAGGATTTTCTTAAAATCCTGAAAATACTCAAAAGTTCTGGTACAGTTAACTGGGTGCTTGAGTTAACCATAACAATCATTAGCAGGGAGATTTGGATCCCAGTAAGATACAAAACATATCAAATGCTGTATCCAAAAATCTCCACGTAGGAGGCTATTCCTAAAGATGGACCTATATAGTTTTTTTTTTTTTGGTATGGAAATTTCCTGCCTCTTATGAACCCAAAAAATAAAATCAATATCAATTCAGTTGTAACTTGTGCCAAAAATACAAAGAAATCCCACCGAAATAAATGAAAATTTCCCAGAATTTTCCTGCCTTAATGTCGCAATATTTCCATCAATCTTAGATCCTGTGGAGAATATCGGTACATTCTTTTGAATATTATAAATAATCGTACTTTATAAGGGACTTACAGTGGATATAGCGAGGGAGTACCTGAGTTTCTTCAAATGTTATATATAACTTAGTACCAAGCTCGGTTGTGAAGAGGATTACAGAAATCAAAGAATACCCCAAAAGGTATTTTTTATTGTACTTCGATAAAATAAAACTGAATAATATTTATTTTTCCTAATGAACCGAACCTTTTGTAACAAGTTTAAAATTTGTTACATATTTTTGCAACACCCTGTACTCTACTACCTTTAAATGAAACGTTTTGTGAAACACTAAAACCGGTGTGATAAGCATGCCTTCATTAAGCCGAATGTTTGATGGTTGTAATGGCTAATGATGCTATTGTTCGGCGGACTCCCTCCTTTGCTGTTTGTCAGAAGGTATGTTGTAGCTTGTGTTAAGTTCTCAAGGTTTGTTATGTTCATGAAAAATCCCATGCAACACCATGGCAACGAATCCAATTATTATTGAGGGCAATATTAACAAAGCTATTCAGTTATTGACTTTGTTCGCCAACAAGAAAAAAAAAACACAAGAAGAAGATGAAGGAGAATCCAATCAAAAGGTTGTGATGAAAATAAAAACCTCACAAAAGAAAATCTGTGAAGAAAAGTTGTTATTTCAACAAAACCAAAATTTATCACTAAAGGTAAGAAGGATAAAAAGGATTTCTTTAATTAATTAAAGGATTTGCTTTCTTCTTGTGGGTTTGATGACAGGAAATTTTGTAAGCAGCTGTATTTTGTAAGGCTGCTACTGCTGTCATGTCTTGGTGTGGTGGTGGCCAGTTTATTTTCGTGGTATCCTTTTTAGCGTTAATTATACCCAAGGATTTCATGAAACTTTACCCACAAATTATGCTAAATAATCAGAGATTTTCATTAAGAGCCGCATTAAACAATTTACAAAAGTTAAGAGGAAAATGTTAATGATTATTTTTGCGGCTTAAGGTGGCAGCAATGATGAAAGGATGTTATTTCCCGCAGGATACAATTAAAAAAGAAAGAATACATTTTTTAATAAACTTATTTACAAATTGGGGTAATTGTTTCATTGGATAAACTATTTTTTTTCTAAAAAATCTTTAAAATATTTATAATATTCTTTAGAAGTTTTATATATAGATATATTTCGCTACTTACCCAAGGACAATGGTGATCAAAACGATCAACACAATTATCACATAAACTGCAATGTGAAGCACGAGGCGGTCGGAAGATTTTGCATGTAAAACAATATTTCAGTTTCACCGTTTGTCCTTTGACAAGGACTTCTTTTGTACGTGGTGGCGGTCGATATGTGGGACTATTTAAGGAATTTGGCACTTCTGAAATAAAAACAAACACACACACACAAAAAGTTGCTGGGTAATAAAAAGAAGAGCGATAAAAAAAAAGAAAACTTACCAATTTGTTTTTCTATATAGGCAGCCTCATCATATGAGGCACGCGGTATAACACCGGGATCTGTGAAGGTCGTTCGTAGCAAGGAACTCATAGTAAAAAAGTACAAAATAGCACCAACAATGGGTATAATGGGATTAATACGTGTGGCCAAAAAAGGGCAGCTGTAAAGAGACCACAAAAAGAAAGAATAAATAAAAAAAACACAATCAAATACACAGGCAATTGAATTCAACAAATACGTTTCCAAATGAAATGAAGTACAAACAAAGAAATAGAAAGAAAAATGGGCTAAGTAACTTAACCAACCGAGCGACGAAGCAGGTTGGCAGGCCCAGGCTAACCAACACTTAATATCAACCGCTCAACGCACACACACACACACAATACAAATTGCCAGCAAATACAGTTCATTTATTTTCGCTTCCACTCTCTCTCGAGTTGTACGGCTATATACTATTCCAAACAAAGAACTTGTAACATGTGACATACTTTCGGTTATTGTCCTCCTCTTTTTTACCATTGTTAAGTCAGTGGCACGACCCCAGGCCTGACTAGCGAACAACTAAACTAGGACCAGGCATAAAATATTTATACGACTCTTGGGGGAATTCTGCTGTTGATAATACACACAAACATTGCAACTGTTTTTCTTCCTTTGTCACAATGACTTTTAACAAAAGTCCCTAAGGTCCTTACTTCGCCCCTCTTCTCCTCATTTTTGCTGTTGCATCTGTCGCAATGGTAGCTTTCTCTGCGTGGTTTTTTACTCGACTAACTCAACTGGTATGCGCTGCTGCTATTATTAACTGGATTCAAATGTGCATTTTAGGACAAAACAATGCTACGTCAGTAACAGTGTGTATATGTATGTGTGCTTTGGAGAAATAACAATACATTTCTACTGACTGCATCAAAAACAGCAACAACTTGTCATATCAAGTGTTATGTGCGGCATTACTAGGGGATATATTGGGAGAGAGTATGGTAATTGGGGTGAGACCACAGTAATACCACAAATTCTAATTTTCTACATTTATATTATCTATAAAAGGATTGTCAGTAAAATGAATAGTTCCTAAAACGGGTTTCTAATGCGAAGTCCGTATGTCCTATAAAAATATAATCCCCACTTTCTAGTAAAAATATTTTTAAAAAATCTACGTTTATGGATGTGGAAATACTGGAAAATATGCACTTTGAAAATCTTATGGTTTAAAATGTCACCTTGAACACATATTTCGTAGAAGTTTACGTTTATTGCTGCAGTATTCATTAAGAAAAAAATTATTTGAAAATCCACGGTTATGGCTTCGCTAGATCTTGAAAAAATAGTACTTAATAAATATTTTTTAAATCTATATAATCTAATAATAATAATGGCATAAGCCTATTTTGGTCTCGAAATCCATTGATAAAATATTTATTATAATTTATGTCTGCGATAATCCTTGAAATCTACAAACACCTATTTATATATTCGCGAATTTGTTAAAAATCCACACCATAGCTATATCGTTTATTTTTATCACACACCTTCATTGGATTATTTGCTAATCTGATCGAAGCTAAATATCTTGCGAACACCTAAACCACAATCTAATTACATTATCCTAAACCAGATTTAAAATTAGCCCCAAACCTGCCCTCGTGTCGTTCGTTCATCGGCAGCAGTTAAATATTAACCAAACAGCACTTTCAAGTCCACTTAAAAATAAACCCAGCGAGTATTTTAAGTGGATGTTTGTAGATGATTTGCAGTGTTTATTTAAGAAGACTGGCGGTGAGCGTTGCCCACGGACATGTGAAAATGAGTGTTTATGTGTTCGTACAGAGCGTACCGAGCATTGTGCTTTGTTATTATTTATTCATAAAATGTTTAACATAGATTACATAAAAAACGCCAGTAGCAGCCTCAACTTCAACAACAGCAGCAACATCAGCCAGCATATCAGTAGCAGGGCAAATTTGCCAGAAGCTGTGTAGTATAGTATAGTCGAGGAGGTTGTCGTGGTAATGGCAGTAACATCAGCGATTTTGTAGCCGCAAGTGGCATGTCCTTTTATTGTTCGTTGCAATGCATACAACGGTTCATCATCTGCATCACTTAATGTCCCCATCACACACCATTGGCACTCTGTCAGTGAGTGAATGAGTGAGCGGGCGAGTGAGCGAATAATAAATACACCAACTTATTTGCAAGCTCAGAAAAAATACACACACCCAACTATACATAATCAATGAGTCAGAAGCACACACATGTAGTAGTTGTGTTGGAGACATCAACTTTTTGCCGGATGTTAAGGGAAATGTCTCTAACACAAATATACAATGCGACCACTACAATTCGATATATAGTCTGTTCTTCATTGTCGTTGCCAGCATTACAAATGCATGCATGTTTGCAAATTTAGATGTTGGTAGAACCGTGGTTGTGTTAAAAAAATAACCTCTCCGAAAGCTAAACTGGGCTATAAAAATTTAACCAGGCTATACTAAAATAATAATTTTCAGATATAATACATTATTTTAGATACCCTGAGAATATTATTTTCCATAGAAATTGCATATTGATGTATAATAGGAAAAATTACTTCCAAAATACAGCTTAGTAAGCACTGTACCACATCAACTCATGGTAACATTGTCCAGTTTTTTTGAACGCCTAACCGTCAGCCAGCCTGCCTGCCTGGCTGACTGACTGCCTCTATGCTCTATTTGAAAAATACTAACATGCGTTTCATGCCAGTTTGAGAATGGCTTTGTACTACTCTTCAAACATCGTTGTCATTTTACGAGAAGAATATCCACATACATATGTGAAGTTTTGTGATTCATATGAGGGAACATTGCCTGGGTACGGTCTGGTTTCCCATTTCAGAAATTCTCATTGTTCTCATAGTCAGTTTGCATAGAAAGCAAAAAAAAAAAAGAAAAGCCCGAACAAAAATGGAAAGTTAGATAAACATCAGAGATTTTTGCATAGTTGCACATCTCTGACTCACTGGGCTTTGATGGTTGTTACGATTCGTTTGCCGATTACAACGACAATGGATGAAATTTAGGATTTTCATGATATTCCCATTCATGTGCTCCTGCATTAGCTTGATTCATAAATAACACAGAATAGGAAAAATAAAAAAAAATATTTGTGATTTTGTTAGTTTTGAATTTATGTTAGAATGTGAAAAAATTTTTTCTGTAACATACAATGGACATGAGAAGAAAAAAAAAACGAAAGTGACAAATTGTTGATTATAACATTTTGCATAATTAAAAAAATTGCTTACAACATAGATGCTGGTGTATTTTATTCATGAGACCATGAGGAATTTTTAAATAATGGAGAATACATTTCCATAGAAAATGAAGAATTTTGTGTTTTTTAAAAATAGAATAAACGTTTTTAGGACATGTTTCATTTGAATTCTAAAAGGACTATTTAATTGTGGAATCTTACAGGTTTTTATTTTTTACTATTTTCTTTTAATTTAACTTTTAAGATATAGGTATGATTTAGAATTTCCAAGGTCATATACCTACATTAGATTAACGAATATGTGATAAAACCCACATGTCTTTCTATAATATACCCAATAAACTGGGAACAATTTGCGGCTATTTAGCCTATAAAATAGGGTCTACTACAATATTTAATTCATGGTAAACGCAAAATAGATTCTTTGTGTTTTTATTTTTATGTTGGCAATTCAATCCCTCAATCCCTAACACATACGCTACACGTATATTTTTAAAGTTTTTCAAATGCCTACCCAGAATACATCATGGTCGAACAGGGGGAAGATGAGGGCAAGCGGGGATATGTTTTCAATTTACACATACATATAATAATTCACATCCTGGTTATAAAACAGTTTTTTTCTGTTTCTTGACCAAACTTTTGGGGGGAAAGGAACAGTTTGGACAGAACTTTTATTCATTCATACATTTGGTGTACAGTAACAAATGTATTGTTTTGTTGTTACATGGGTGTGTGTGTGTGTTCGCTCACTTTTATATTCTAAAAAACACTTCCTGTCAGTTTTATGACACAATTCATTATGAACTTTCATTGCATAAAACATTTGTTATTTTGTTATCCTTTTTTCGAAACAAAACAAAATCATAACGTCTTTTATCTTCTGCTCTGCCTTTTTTGTTTGTATAACTAGGATGATAGAATTTTGATGAGTTGTAATGTGTGTGTGTGGTCTATGACGACAACGAGATGGTGACAAGGATGATGATGATATGGGTGGTTGAGCTCGTTTACACATTGACAATTGAATTGCAATCTGAGCCTAAATAATAATTTTCCCCCCATTCATTCCCATGTCTAAGCCAAGGGAATCTGTCCATGTGTGTGTGTGTGGTTGGGGATGCTGAATATCGCTCAGAATAAAAGTAATTTTGCATTTGTCTGTTCTTTCGTAACTCTTTGTGTTTGTGTTCTGATTATGCCTTGTTTTGTTATTTCATTCATCAAATTTTCTGATGATGTTTCAGATTCCGATTTTGGATTTTTGTCAGAAATGCTGATGCGACTGTAGAGACTATGATATGTGGATAGGGATGAATGATGTTGGTGATGATAATGACACATTTGATGATTTGGCATTTTACGAAGGGTTCATTCGTTGTTTGCGTTTTTGCAGTAATTATGTGTCGGTGTTTGTTTTATTTTTGCCAGCTTTGTACGTTACTTCCTTCGTTAATTTTTTTGTGTCGTAATGTTAATCATGTGTAACTAAATGTTCAGGGTTTAATAATGTAATTCAAAGGTTTAGCATTGAGTGCATCCAATTTGTATTTGTATGTATATAGTGTCAATTGTTTAAGGTATATTTTCCAAACACCATCGGGGCCTAAAGGTGGAATTTTTAAGGAATACTTTGAAAGGACATGGACTTTTCAGCCACGTATTTTCATGGAATATTTTTGGAATATATTTTTAAAAGATTAAGCATGGTTTTTAAGGAATATTTCAAGGACTAATTTTTTAATGATTATGGCCATTAGAATGAGGCTTTTCTCTGAAATTTGTTAAGGAATTGTTTTGCAAAGACTGTCACATCTTTAACCATTTATAAGGACTATCAGTCATTAGGTTAGTATTTCTAAGGATTATAAGTCATTTGATTGGGATTTTAAGGACTATTGCAGTCATAATCCTGGATTTTATAAGGAATATTTTACAAGTGATAGTATTCGATTTTTAGGACTCTCTCTCATAGGAGTACTTTTTTAAGGACTATCAGACAAAGGAGTATTAGTCTTACGAGTGGATTTTTATGAACTAGTCTAAGGAATAATTCTTCAAAGGCTATCAAAGTCAAAAGCGAAAATATTAAAATAATATATTTGTAAGGACTACTACGTGGGTTTTTAAGGACAATTTTTTTTTGCTAGGTCTATGATGTCCATAAGCGAGGAAGTTTTATTAAATATTATAAAAAGGACAGTCATAGGGCCGGAGGTTTAAGTAATATTTTTCCAACGACTATCGTATCGTATACGTCTTAACGATTTCATAAGAAATGTGTATTAATTATGTGACATACTTTCCAAATGAAGTCTTAAATTCCCATTAAAGGAAGCCACTTGAACTTTATTATCTACCCCTAAAAATCAATACACAAAGCTTTTTTTGTTTTGAAGAGATTCTCGTCGTATTACTGCCACACTATGCTTCACACAACTACATCAACAAAATTGAAGTTGCATATAAATGAATATTACAAACTTCTTTGGCGTTTTTGTCAAGAAAACTGTAGAATTTCCTTGTTCTTAGTGATAGTCGTTGTAGTAGGAGTTGTAACCCTCTAGATAAAGGACTCTCAAAGGACTTGTTGAACACATCATTGTCGTCAACACAATCACCGTGTCATCTTTTAGTGTAACCTCGTCATTTATCGTTCAACAACGAACCGCACACATTCCCCAGTCGTCGAATGGTTGCAGCAATAATTTTATAGTTTGCAAATAATGTCACTTTCACGAAAGAGTCTCGTCCGCACTCAACAAGAATTTGTGAAAAGGATGCACTGCTGCGCAGTAAAGTGGAGTGGAGTTGGTAGTAGGTGTCGTGCGATATGTACGGATGTTGCAGCATAAAAGTTTAATACCTTTGGGGGCTTTAGTTTCAAAACTTGTACTCAAAGTCTTCTTAATGTTACTGATGAGGTTGTTTAGAGCATTCAATGTAATGCCTTTCGAACAGTTTAAAGCAATACTGTCAGCAGCATCGAACTTCATTGATGGCAGCACAGAATGGCGGAAGTGTTTCGCATCACCATCAACGGTCAGGAAGTTGTGTCGTTGAAACGGGTGTGTGTCTGCATTATTCAATGCGTTACTAACAAAATCCTACAAAGTTGTGGCAGTGTGCGTGTTATATCGATGATTTACTTTTAGTATCGAACCGAAAAATAAAAAAACTTTAAAGTAATTTCCCAAGCACTTTATGTGCATACATGCATCGCGGAACAGCAGAGAGCCCCAACGGCTCGAGTTGTTAGATGCAATTCTATGTGGTGACGTTTATTTTATGTTCCACTTCACTGAACTCCATCTATCCTGCGAGAGAAGACAAATCATCAGACTCATCTTACACCGTTCGTTCGCTGCACAATTTCCGCATTGTAAAAGTTTGTCGGTTTTGACAAAAAACTTGAAAAATTGTTTTTAAGATAATAAAACCTTTTCAGAAAAAAGGAAAAAAAAAACACCCGAAAAGCAGGAAGGAAATACGAATTGCAATTTTCAAAGTTCTGTTGCAATTTCTTTTGCTCGGGATTTAGCTGTTATTCAATTCGTAAAACAAAAGCTTTGAAGAAGCGCGAAATCCTTTTTGACAACTTCATGAAAACATTTTGCTGACATTAATGTTATTAAAGTGTCACCAGTTAGTTTCTAGTTTTTCGGGAAATTGATTTTTTGTTTTTGTGTGTTTAGAATTTCATTGGATGAATTTTCATCGAAGTCCATAGAAAGAAACTTTCAAGATTTTTAATTAATTTAAAGGAAGTCAGTGACAAAATCTTGAAATGTATATGGAAGCCTTCTTGTAGGCAAGGTGTTAGTCATAGGTCTCCGGAAGCTAAATTTATTTATTATTGGAAAAGATCGGTTAATATTTAGGGGATGAAATGAACAAAATACTTAATTTTTGTCCGTTTTTCTGTTTTTATGAACCTCTACTAGGCGTAGAGGACATCTACCAGGTGAAGATTTTTTTAAAAAATTATTATAAGATTACAAGGCGTGGATTTTTTAACACATTTTTGTAAGGACTTCTACCAGGCGTGGATTTTTTATACCCTACACAACTATGTTGTCAGGGTATTATAGCTTTGTGCAGCCCCAAGATCGATCAATATTTCGGGGGTCAAATGGACCCTGACTTTTGTTCGAAAAATGACAAAATTTGTATTCTATGGCGTATATAGTTACTCTCGAAGGACATAGACCCGAGAAGTTGATAGTATGCCCAAGAGGAAAGGTTGACCTTCAAATTGATACCAATTATATTGTCGTATGTACTCTGAGTGGGAGTTACACTCAAATATTTACAGGTGCTAACGTATTCAAATATTATTTAGTAACCCATTACCACACTAGGACGAAAATATAGCGCTGATCGCTTTGAAATTTTCCATGAGGATTCAGGTGTGGTCAAGGGAAACGCCTATAATTTTCGATGATGATCATATAATAATATTGGGATGAAGTGGACCAAAAACTTATTTTTTTGTATTTTCTCGAGTCGATCTATACGCTACAATTGAAAACCGAACATCACAACACCAACCACCGTGAAGGGAATCTGGACATGTAATTAGAAGGGCTGAATTGAATATTAGTAATATTTGTTGACCTCTAGTCGATCAAGAGGTTGAAAATATCGCGAAATATTGCTCAAGCTCAGTTAGATTTTCGTGGAAGTTGTGTAAGGTATCATATTGTCGCCCCGTCCGACTATACTGCTCCGCTCACTGGTTTAAACATATTTTTTGAGAAAGGGAAAACCAAAGAATTTGTGGTTTTTATTGTCAACAAAAAAAACATGTGTTTTATAGTATACTATGGGAGAGACAGGATTTTTTACTACACTTACGTTGCCAAATTCGCCTAGCTCACTGGTTTAAACATATTTTTTGAGAAAGGGAAAACCAAAGAATTTGGTTTTTATAAGGAGTAGTAGCAATATATGTGCGAAATTTCTATTGTAATTATTGCGCGACATGGTTAAATCGAAGTAGAATTGTATCATCACCTTTCGGTAAATCATATACAAATCTGTTTGGTATACAATTCGTTTTCTATTGATGTGTCTTACCAAGGATTAAGGATACATATTACATAAATTGAATTTCCTGACATGACGCCGGTTGTTCTGCTACATAGCCCCAATTCTCAAATTAAAATAAATATTTAAAATAAGAAATAAAAGAATGCGTCATACTTACTCGAAGGCAAAAAATAATGCACTTGTCCCCGTTATCAGGATGCACGTTAAATAAAATACGCCCGTATGAGGAGCAGACATTAACAAACCATCACAATAAAATTTATTACGTCCGGCAAATAGTTCCCATTTGCGTGTGACGCGTGTATTTGGTGCCATGTTACAGCAGCAGCAACAGAATAAATTCATTTAGGTCCCAATGATGACGATGGAGACGGAGATGACGGCGACACCGGCAACAATATAACAACACCCACGCACACAGTCAAACACGCACGATCCTTTCGTCTGACTCGTAGTAGACACACACATATACAAAAAAATTGATTTGCACTTTAGTCTTGTTGTTGTTCGTGTTGGAGGTGGTAGTGGTGTTGGTGTTGGTAGTGTATCCAAAACGAATCAAATTCCCAGCAAGTGATGGTGAAATGATGACGCCGGTTTTATTCTGTTTTGTTGCTGTCGTCGTTGCTTGCTTGTTGTTTTTATGTTGTATGATAATAGAGTTGCAACAAATTGCAGCAATGAATCCACAGTTGGGTGACAACCTAAATGGTATTGGTTGGCTTTGGGTCTCTGCGTCTGTGTGTGTGCGGTGTTGTGGGGAATTGTTGGAGTTTTACACGCACTCTGACTCCTCTGAGAGCTGTACAAATCCAATTGAGTAATTGTTTACAGTTAAATGATGATGTTGTTATTGCTGTTACTGATGATGCTGGTGTTCTTGGTTGACTGGGGGATGTGGGTGTCTGTGTGTGCGTGTCTGCGGTAGCTAGACAGACTGACAGGCAAGCAATACCGAAGGAGTATCTCTATAAATATAGTCAGGGACTCTGTTGATGTTGGATGGCTGACTGGCTTGTTTGCCTGGTAAGTAAAGCGTTGTTCGTTGTTGTTGCTGTTTTTGCTGTGGTTTAATCTTAAGGATTTAAAAATGAAGGTCTTAGTAATCCCTGCTGTTATTATCGTTAGCTGGTTACTGGGGCGAGAGAGAGACTGGCTGGTATGGATGTTAATGCGTGTTTTGCAATGTTCCCTTGCTGGTTTGGGGTGTGCGAGTGTTTTTGGTTGTATTTGTTTCCTCTTTGGCTCGTTTAATGTATTTTCCAATGCTGGCAGACAGCAAATAACATCATGTCGAGCAATGTTGCCTCCTGTCCAGTTTTACAAACGACAGCAATGCACATTCACACAAATTTGTGAGAGATCGAGAAAGAGAAATGAATGCTGGACGAAATTACAAAAAAAACGAAAAAAAAAACAACCCAAAACGTTTCATTCACGCAAATGATTTCCTGGTGTTGCTGGCTGGATGGTTGGTGATGGTAAAAATGATGACGATGATTACTCCCTTCTGTGTCGTCGTCGTTATGTTAAATGCTGTTGCTTGGTAATGTCCTTGTGGTTAGTTTTCTTGTTGTTCTTCTTCCTTGCTTGTCGTCGTTGTAAATGCTGGGGCTTGCAATTTTTGGAGGCGGGTGGGATTTCAGGACCTACACGTTTAACATAAAATTTGGCTAATTTTTACATTTGTAGTTCTATTTTTTTGTGAGCGATGTAAAGCAAATGCTGATGATAATGACGCAGAACCAAGAAGTGGACGAAAAACCGACAATAACGTTGCTGCTATTTTAGTTCTGTATGTGTGTGTATGTTTCTTTATTCAGTCGTTTGTTTTTATTTTTATTTTCTATTTTATTTTTATAAAAAACTTGTTGTTATTATTTATATTGTTTTTGTTCTTTTAGTTGTTTTTTCTTTTGCGTTTTTTTTTTGTGTGTTTATGTTCATTTATAAAAATTACTGTTTATTTTGTTTTCTTGTTATTTTTATTTTCTTTTTCGCGAATCGTTTAAATATTAAAAAAAACTAGACAGGAAATATTATTGTTGTTGTTGCCGGTTGGCTGTGTATTTTTTGCTTTCTCTTTTCTTGTTTCCGTCTAATTCATATTGGTGCTATCGTTGATGTTGCTGCTGTTGCACTTGATTTTGTTGCCGCTGCTGCAGTTGTTGCTGATAATGATGATGCTGTTGCTGTTGGTAGTGGTGGGGTTGGCTGTGATGGCTGTCGTCGTAACTTCCGTTTCCCCAATTTAATATTTTTCTAAATTTCCCTTCAGTTGCTTCTTCTTCGTTGTTGTAGTCTTTGGCCGTATGTCGCAGTAACATTATGCCCCCTCACTTGGCCCTCTGTCTTTTTCTATTCAGTTGTGCAAACAGCAAGTTATTTGTTCTGTTCTTTTTTTGTGGGGCGGGCTATTATAGAGTTGAGCTTTATCCTTTCCACTGCTTATTGCTGTTTATTATGTTCCTTCAAACTCCATATTATTAATATTACAGCTCATTTGTTTATATGACTGTAAACATTTTTTATGTGGCAAACTGTACTCCGCCAAATGTCTGACTGCTTTGTTCTGCAATGGCAAAAAGAAGAAGAGGAAAAAACATATATTATTAAAATGATGTGGTGAATATTGCTGCTAAGTTTCAACAAATTACATTCATAAAATAAACATTTAGCAAATAACGAAAAGAAACATTTCTTTGTTCAACATCGAATTGTGAATGTATTCTACATTCCAAGCGTATTTTTCTTCAATAAAATTACAACACTCTTTCTCCCATAAATATGGTTCGCCAATGGCACTCACACATTTCAAATTATTTGATGTAATATCTGTGTTATTCAAATTTGCATAGAAAACGCAAAATTTTACACACTCCGCCCCAAGATGAAGAGAGTACATATTTTTCCTGTTTATAATTGAAAAAATATGTTGATGTAAAATATATTCTTGAAGTGGCAATACTCTGGAATATGAGTAACACAATATTACTTATACGTTACCAAGGGAGAGTGCCATTGCAAATTTCCATTAGTGATTCATTGTCACGAATGGTTGCAAGAATTTGGAGAGAAATTCTTAAAATATATTTATAAACATATATTTACATTTTTATATGAGGGTAATTTTAAACATTTTTGACACATTTTCATGAATATCAAATAAAATACATCAATCTTGGCGCAAATGTTTATTAAATGATGTGGAAATTTGGAAATGTTTTAAAGGAGGTGGCATAGGAAGAATACGAGTTTTTTTTTGGTATTTTAGTTATCAGTATACGATACTATAACATGTAAAGTATTTTAGCATAGAGTTTTGTATTAGGACTCCTTTTGTACCACTTTTGTTTACAGGTACCAAATTATTGTCAATTAAATTTTTCATGAGAGAAGTGCTATTTTTGTACTATATGAACCAACGAATAAACACTAGGAATAGTTTTTTCATATAGTGCCGCTTTTCATATAAGTCATTTTCATATAAGTCATTTGTTCTATAAACCAATATGTTTTAAACGGAACGTTAATATAGTTATGATATGACCAATTTGAGATGGAAGTCAGGCACAGAGAGAGGGCTTATCTTGAAATTTCTTAAAAACAAAAAACTCAATCGTTAAAAATATTGATTCTAAAAATAGAGTATCGTCGATGTAGATCTTCTTTTTTCTATTGCTTGATTTGTGATTAAAAACAATATATTTGAAAACCAGTGAGCGGAGCAGTATAGTCGGACGAGGCCGACCATATGATACCCTACACAACTACCACGGAAAGCTAACTTTCTACAGATCCATATTCCGCAATATTAGACCTTATTGACCGATTACAACAAACAGTTCAACTTTCTGACCCTGCCATATTTCCAAATCTGTTTTTCCCGAGGAGAATATTTACGCCATAAAAACATAAAACTATTTGGTTACTTTAGGTTTTGGTTTATTTGACCATCGGAATATTGACCGATTATCATCTAAGCAGCCGTACAAAGTATTTATATATAATATGTGATGTTCTGCATGTAATAATGGTTTCTAGAGCAACTAGAAAATCTGACAAAAATAAGGTTTTCGGTTCATGGCACCACCTAAATATTATCTCAACATCACCGAAAATTATGGGCGTTGTCCTTGAACCAACCCGGAACTTTATGTAAAATTTCAAAGCGATCAGCACGACATTTCCGCTCTCTAGTGGGGTTACAGTAATACTAAACAACATCAGAATACGTAGACCCCTGTAAATATTTAGGTATAACTCCCGCATCCGTGTGCATGCAACAATATAATTGGTATCAATTTAAATGTCAACCACCCCTCTTGGATATACTTTAAATTTCTGGGGTCTTTGTCCCTCAATACTAAATATATATACCCCAGAATACAAATTTTGTAATTTTCCACACAAAATTGTGGGTCCAATTGACCCGCTAAATATTGACCGATCTTCATCAGATCCTTTTCTCTGTGTAAAATTTCGTGGTATTCGGATCAAAATTGTAGTTTTAAGAGCGTCCAGAAAAACAGAAAAAATGTTGTTGGCCCATTTCATCCCCTAAATGTTAATGGATCATTACCAAAAACAATAGGGATCTTATTTGGCCAGAACCCATCCTACATGCAAAATTTCGTGACGATTGATCCATAACTGTGGCCTGCAACGTGTTTACAAATTATAATGGACAGACACACATGTCTAGATCGACGTAGCTAGTCGAGATATGACGATCGGCATAGTTAAAGGTAGGACTATTATTTCGCGGCGTTACAAACTCTTGGGGCTGCACACTGACAATATAGTTGTGTTGGGTATAAAAAAATTAATTTTGTCGGAAATAATTTTCCATCGCTGAAATTTTTTTTCAATCTTCTAATTAATGTAAATAAATTTAATTTAAACGCACACAGAAATAACTAAAGAAAATATAGTCGGTGACAAAAACAACAAACTCAGAAATAAAAAACAATTAAACTGCATCCATATAAATATATTCAAAACCTTTTGACTAGTTATCAAACACACAAACAAACAATTTATTAAAAAGTTTGTTTTAATTTCTCAAAACAATGATCCTGAGAGAACAAAAAACCCCTGCCCTCTAAAAACAAAAAAAGAATCACCATTTCTTTAACATCCAACAGTAATTTATACCGCACATGAACAGGAAATAAATAAAACTGTCTGTTTTCTAAGTTTCGACGATAATAAATTGCATTTTAAGATCCGCCTCTACATCTTTTCGTTCTGTGTTGTCGTCTTTTGCTGCTAGACTGCTGCTGTTGTTTTAACAAATGTTGAAATGTTGCTGGCATTTTTAGTGTTGTTGATTTTAATGTTGCTGCTACTGATGCTGGAGCCGTTCCACTTGCTTTGCGTTTCTATTG